AAATGTGAAGAAAAAAACCCAGTAACACACATGTTAAATGAACCAGTCAAGTGCAGACAATGGAAAAGCTGAAAAACGGATATGGGGGAAAGCATTTTGCGGTGGTAGCTATTTCTCACTGCAGTTCTTTATAACTTCCCAGATGGGAGATTCATGACCCTCGGAAGAAGTCTGTATCCTCCAGGGTTTGGCCTGCGGCAGCCCATGACTCACTCGCCTACCAAGTTTGGCAGTAAGCTGAGAAACAAGCAAGACAGCAAAATGTCTTGTGGAAACAGCAAAACAAGAGACAAATGAATTAATTGCTGGTAGGGTGAAAAAAATAAACCTCTGCACAAAGGAGGGCCCTAGGCGGAGAGAGTGAGCACGTTTGTGCCTCTGAGGACTGCAGAGGAGCTGGCATCCCAGGCAGCCAGCTCCATTCATTTGCAGGCGAGACAGATTCAGGATGCCTCACGCTGAAAAGGTGAGGTAGGCAGAAGAGATTTGAGGCTCTACCAGCCATTCCACCAGCAGCAAGATGGTTTTCCAGGGGCTCAAGGAGGAAAGAGGATTTGTGGATCTACATTGCCATCTAATGGCAAGGAAGAGCTTAAAGCTTTCACCTGGCCCTGAAACGGGCTATAACAGCAAAGTAACCGGAGGGGATGGTCCCTACGGATGGTTGTCCTTTGGTCTAAAGGCAAACCCCTCTCTGTGACAGAATGAGTCTCACCGGTGAAGGCAATACAGCCAGCCCAGAGAAAGGAAGGGCAGCCAAAGCTTTGGGGTAGAAGCTGCTGATTCTTCCTCTTCTGGCATCCTCTCCACTCCATTCTGTATTAGCCAGGAATGTTAACATGCATATAGGATGGGATTTGCTTTCTGGTGTATCGGATATTGGCAGTGAGACAGGCTTTCCAAGCATGTGCATGTTGCAGGTGCTGAGTGATTTCTGCTGTCCTATTCAAAACAATGTCAAACTCAGCATCTCAGGTGTTCAGGACCCTGCTGAGAAACACAGATAAACAGGATTATTTAAGAAAAGAGGTAAATGCCCTTTGGATCTAGGCACAGGAATAGCAGATCTACCATTTTGGTCACACCTAGCCCAGTACCTTGTCCACATTCCTAGCGAGTAATGGATACTTCATGAGAAAGCATCAGAAAGAGGATACTACAGATTGTTACTGCCCTGCCATTCCCTTCACGCTGGGAGACAGCCCTGAAGGGAGAACCCACGAAGAAAAGAAATCCGGTGAGATGTGAGGGTTTACAGATTTTGTCATTTAAAAGGAAACTCCGGGAAGAGATAAGCTTGATGTTCATTCTAGTACCACCTTTGCTACAGTGTGCTGCTAACGATACACCGTACTAGATAGTTTCTAGAACAGAAACTTTACAAGAGAGAGAGTGGACTATTAGGAGATATATTAAGAAACCAAAGGAAATTTGGTAAAGAATTGTCAACAGCTTCTTTCTTCTGCTTTGAAACATTTCTAGCCTTGGCACACGCAGCTTTGCATACGAGGAGGAGTTGGAGCTCAGTCAATGTGAAAGAGAGGAAGGTGATCTTTTATGACCAGGAGTTTAGAATGGTGTGAGAGCAGGGGAGAAAACAAGGATATAAAGTGTCTGCTTTTCCCAGATAGTGAAATTGGCCGTAGTGTGAGTTCCAGCTAACTTCTGGGCAATAAAAAGGAGTAGGGATTGAGAGCACAGAAACTTTTGAGACCTGCCAGACTTCAGGCCATGGGTCCGACACACCCCCCCAGTCTGTTAAAATGCCTGCTGAGACACGCTTCTCATACAGCGTGCTGCCAAAGAAATGAGCACACTCTCAAACAATCCAACTTCATTTCCTTCTGGTATCTTCTCATATTTACGCACCCAACCTTGCCAAGCCTTGCTAAGCCAAAACAATCCCTCTGAAAGAAAAGGAAAAACAAAGGAACTCCTTATAGCACCTCCCGCCTGCCAGAAAAAGAGGAATCGCTTGGAGGGCTCCGCTTTCTCTCTCGGTTGCTCGCTGTTTCCCAAGCTAATGAAAGCCAGAGGCTGTGGAAGTGACAGGATGATCGTTACTGAGAGATCAGAGTGAATTTTTTGGGTCCTTCTGTCCAGTTCATGAAGCAGGGAGGGGAAGAAGGGAATGTACCTGGTTGAAGGGCTACACAGGGTGACATGTCCCTTGATGTTCCTTTCTAAATGTGGCTCTGAGTCATGCTATGGAGTTGATTAGAAAAATTGTCTACAAAGGCAAAAGAGTCTTGTTCAGTGTTTACTTCCCCAGCCCCGATTCTGAGCCTGCCCAAGCCTGCAGCAGGAGAGGGGCCGGTGAGCTGGCTGGAAAGCCACCTCTGCTCTTCTCAATAATCAGAAATTATTAAGAGGTTGCGAGAGCAGCCATAGAAACAGCTCAAAACACGCACCTAAGGCTACAGGCAGCTGTAGTCCTGGGGAGAGGCGTGCACGGTCTTGCATCTGCCTCCATCGCACAAGTTCCCATGTGCCATGTCAGACGGGGCTAATGCAGTCCTTCCCCCACTTGAGGCATCTCCAAAGCTGCACCCCAAAACCTGCTCCTTCTGAAAAAAAGCTAAAAACAGGGCCTGTGGCACATCCACCCTTCATGGTAGGATAAAACAGGGATGCCCATGAGGGGTCTGGTCTGGAGGCAGGATGCCAGCGATGGCGTGATTGAGGGAGGGAAGCCCCAAAGGAGCCATAAGACATGGCCAGCTGGTTGGAACAAAGCATGTGAGCTGGACCGCCAGCTCGCAGCCAGCAGAAGAAAGTTGTGAAAGGTGTACATCACTCCGAGAGAAGCTGCTGGAGATCATCCTGGCTGGCGCACGATGGTGCCTGGCAGGATTCCGTGTGTCTCCTCGGGCATTTCACTGCCGACCTGTGGCCACCAGCATGGACCCGGAACCAAGAGCTGGGCTTCCACCATCAGCCCAAATCCCCGGGGTCCCGGCAGCAACCCGCTGCCCTCGGCCGGGGCTGCGCCAGCAAAC